CCTGTAGCTTTAGCTGCTATTCCTGCTAGCTCATCAGGCAGAGCAGTGCATGTGTTAACCTCTCTGAAAGTAATGGATAATAAAGATTGGAACTCCATTCTTAATACACCGCCTCCGACTCTCTTTTCACGGCACTACACTGGTGACCCTGACTTTTCCGAGAAAGTTTCCGGAAAATTAACGAACATGGCTGAGCGCGATGTTTTCATAAAGCTGCCGGAATTCTGGGAGCACGCCGCGGAGGCATGGTTCGCACACGTGGAGGCACATTTCGCCTGCCGACAGGTCCGTGACGGGGACCTAAAATACTACCATGTGGTAGCAGCGCTGGGGAGCTCCACGTCGTCCAGGTTGGTGGGATTCATCGCAGCCCCCCCACATCATGGCAAATATGAGGCGATTAAGGCCTTTCTCCTTAAGACATTTAGCTTATCTGCTAAGGAGAGGGCCCGCCAGATACTTAACATTCAAGGCCTAGGAGACAGCAAGCCATCCCAGCTAATGGAGAAAATACTAAATCTGCTAGGGGGGGAAGATCCCTGGATTTTATTCACGGAGATTTTCCTGCGTCACTTGCCTCCCCGGGTACAGACGGCGCTGGCCAACACGCCTGTCACGGAGCCCCGTGCTTTGGCTGAGGAAGCGGATAGTTTTTTCCTGGCTACGCAACAGCCCGGGGCAGAGACGTTAGCCGCGACGCTCAGCGGCCCACCGGCAGTCAAGAAAGTGTGGCGGAGGCCGGACACGGCTGTGGCTAGCCGGCGTGGAGACGCCGGAGAGTGCGTTTACCACGCACGTTTCGGGACAAGGGCGAAGAGATGCATCGCTCCGTGCAGCTACAAACCCCCGGGAAACGGAGGGGCCGGCGCTCAGTAGTGGCTCTGAGCGTCGGCGGCACGTGCAGGCTCCTCTTCGTCAGCGACAGCGTTTCGGGGAGCTTGTTTCTGTGTGACACGGGCGCTCAACGGAGCGTAGTTCCAGCGTCGAGTGAAGACGTCGCCCGTGGGGGGCACGGACCGCGATTGACGACGGCTAACGGCAGTCCCATTCGCACGTACGGCGTGAGGCCTATGTGTTTGTGCATCGGAGGACAGCGTTTCAGCTGGGATTTTGTGACAGCGGACATTTATTTTCCCCTCCTCGGAGCGGATTTTTTGTGTGCTCATGGACTCTTAGTGGACGTTAAGAATAGGCGTTTGGTTGATGCCTTAACGTTTTCTTCCCTCGTGTGCACACTTGGCAGCGCAGCGTACCGTCGACGGGCTGTCAGGCTCGCTGTCAGGTGCAGACACGTTTCTCAGACTGTTGGCCGAGTTTCCAGACCTATCGCTACCCACCTTCTCTGCGCTTACCACTAAGCATGGCGTGGAACACCACGTCACTACCGGGGGGCCTCCTGTCTACGCCAGGGCCCGGCGGTTGAACCCTTCTAAGCTGGCTGTAGCGAGGGCGGAGTTCGCAACCATGGAGCGCTTGGGCATTGTCCGCCGCTCCGACAGTCCTTGGGCTTCCCCCCTGCACGTCGTTCCCAAATCGAACGGCGGGTTCCACCCGTGCGGGGATTACCGCCGACTCAACGACGCCACTACGCCTGACCGCTATCCGGTGCCGCACATTCAGGACTTTTCGGCGCATCTGGCCGGTACGGGGGTGTTTTCCAAGGTGGACCTGGTGCGTGGATACCACCAGGTGCCCATGCACCCCCTGGACATTCCCAAGACAGCAGTGATAACGCCTTTTGGACTTTTTGAGTTCCTGCGGATGCCTTTTGGACTCAAGAATGCCGCTCAGACGTTCCAGCGCCTGATGGATTCGGTGCTGCGGGACCTGCCGTTTGTGTTTGTTTACCTCGACGACATACTTGTCGCCAGCGCTTCAGTGCAGGAGCACCTGTTCCACCTCCGAGCCCTTTTCACACGGCTCAACGAACACGGAATAATCATCAATCCTGCAAAGTGCCAGTTCGGGGTGTCGGACATCGATTTCCTGGGGCACCGCGTCACCAAGGGCGGTGCGACACCTCTGCCAGCGAAGGTGGAGGCTATTGCGGCGTTTCCTCGCCCGCTCACAGCCCGGTCGCTCCGTGAGTTTCTGGGGATGGTGACTTTCTACCACCGTTTCATCGCCCGGGCCGCCGCACACATCATGCGGCCGCTGTATGAAGCGTTGAAAGGCAAGACCCCCGTCCAGGAGATCGACTGGACAGCAGAGGCGGACGGCGCTTTTGCTGAGGTCAAGACCGCGTTGGCTCAGGCGGCTTTGCTGGCACACCCATCATCTACGGCTCCCATCTCCATCACCACGGACGCGTCAGACTATGCGGTCGGCGCAGTGCACGAGCAGTGGGTGGAGGGCGCTTGGCAGCCGCTCGCCTTTTTCAGCCGCCAGCTGACGCCTAGAGAACGCAAATACAGCGCCTTTGACCGGGAGCTCCTCGGACTTTATTTGGCCGTGCGGCACTTCCGTTTCATGCTGGAAGGCCGTGAATTTACGGCGTTTGTCGACCACAAGCCGCTCACCTTCGCCATGTCAAAAGTGGCGGAGCCTTGGTCGGCACGTCAGCAGCGGCAGCTGTCCTACATATCGGAGGTCACTACGGACATTAAGCACGTGGCTGGCAAGTCGAACCTGGTTGCTGATTGCCTCTCCAGGGTCGTCATCGGTGCCGTCCAGTTGGGCCTGGACTATACTCGCATGGCGGCAGACCAGGTCACAGATCCCGGCGTCCAGGCCCTGAAGGTGGAGAGCGCGGGGCTGCGCTTGGAGGACGTGGTGTTCGGCGACGCGGGCATTACTCTCCTGTGTGACGTCTCTAAGGAACTGGCGCGGCCTGTCGTCCCTGCCAGCTGGAGGCGTTAAACCTTCGGTGCGTTTGGTAGCGGCGAAGTTCGTTTGGCAAGGACTGAAAAGGGACGTGAGGACTTGGGCCAGGGAGTGCGTGGCTTGTCAACGCGCTAAGGTGCACCGCCACACGAAGGCCCCGTTGGAGCGTTTCCTGGTGCCTGAGAGGAGGTTTGATCACGTCAACATTGACCTGGTTGGTCCGTTGCCTTCCTCTCAGGGGTTTTCCTACCTCCTCACCATGGTGGACAGAACGACCCGTTGGCCGGAGGCGGTTCCGCTCGTTTCGACATCAGCCGCAGACGTTGCCCGGGCCTTCATTGCAACGTGGGTGTGTCGTTTTGGCACCCCGTCAGACATTTCCTCAGACAGGGGCTCTCAGTTCACGTCCGAGCTCTGGAACGCTGTGGCAGGCGGTTTGGGGGTTAAGCTGCACAGGACTACCGCTTACCACCCTCAGGCTAACGGCCTCTTCGAGCGCTTTCATCACTCCATGAAGGCGGCCCTCAAGGCCGGCCTTACGGACGGTAACTGGGTCGACAAGCTGCCCTGGGTGATGCTGGGCCTGAGGACCGCACCTAAGGAAGATCTGCAGTGTTCTACAGCGGAGATGGTCTACGGTCAGCCGCTGAGAGTTCCGGGGGATTTCCTCCCAAATGCATCGGCTCCCTGGTCGGCGTGGGCCCAGCGGGCTTTCCTGCGTGATGCCGCTGAGGCCTTTGCTCCGATCCCTACTACTCAGCACGGTACTCAGGTGTCCCAGGTTCCCGCAGAGCTCCGCTCGGCGGAGCACGTGTTCATCCGGCACGATGCGCACAGAGGCCCCCTGCAGCCCCCTTATGATGGGCCTTTCCGGGTCTTGGAGCACAGGGACAAGCACCTGGTAGTCGACCTGGGTGGCAAGGCCGAGCACGTCTCGGTGGACCGGGTGAAGGCTGCTCACCTGGACTTGGACCAGCCTGTGGTGCTGGCTCGACCTCCGCGACGGGGCCGCCCCCCGGCCTCGTCCCCTGTCACGGATTTAAGACCTGTTGTTCCGGTCCCTCCCCTTCCGGGGGCCGCACAGGCGGGAGTCACTTTTCCGACTCCCGTGCTCAGGAGTTGTGGGGGTCGGCGTGTCGTTCCTCCCCGCCATGCTGATTTTGTTTATGTGTGAATTCTGGGGGGGCTTGTGTGGTGACACGTTATTGGACATAATTCACCTTGCTTATTGTGTTGCCACACGGACCCTTTAGTGGGGAACACCTGTAGCTTTAGCTGCCATTCCTGCTAGCTCATCAGGCAGAGCAGTGCATGTGTTAACCTCTCTGAAAGTAATGGATAATAAAGATTGGAACTCCATTCTTAATACACCGCCTCCGACTCTCTTTTCACGGCACTACAATATATTATATATTAGTATGAAGCATTTTACCGTGACTACACTTCAAATTCGAGGTGACATCGGTTGAAAGTAAAGACAATAACAAACAGTGAAAAGAATTAAGGGAGACAGAAAATGCTGCTTCAGATGTTTTTTTTTAAATATTAGAGAAGCTTTACGTCAATGATTATTAAAAGACTTCACGGCTCATGTCTAATCTCTTTTTACTGAGTCTTACCACTCCTAGATGACATGTTATTGCTCCCTATGGGAATTAGTTCTGCATTCAAGCAATAATTATCCTGCAATGTAGGTGACTGTCCGTCAGGGGTCCATTAAGGAATCATTTTTCTGAGTGATATTGCAATTACTGATTAAATGCTGTAGCAGTTCATTGTTTGGTTAATCTCTTCTAACCTAATCTGATGGTAATGAAATTGTAAATGTAAAAAAACAAACAAACAAAAACTCAAAAGTTTAAACATTTTTAAAGGACCAATCCCCATCCAACCAGTCAGGTGGGGGCGTGAACCTGTCAGTGCAAGGCTGTTCAAATGTCTCATATTTGTAACAAGGTTTGTAAGAAACAACCCTAACTCGTGCGTAAGTGCAATGTAAGGAGCTTGAAAAAGTAATGTCGTTACATTTGCAACGAAAGAGGAGTATTGGACTATCATTTGGGGTTCACCTGTGGACACTGTGATTGGAGAGACCTGAGCTTCACTCCGCCCCCCTCCCTCCGGCGGGCTCCCCGCCTCCCCAAACCCAGAGCGCACTCCGCTCTCACTTGCTTCCTCTACCCGCCGCAGAACATGAGCTCCCTTCTCTCTGAGCGGACGCACACCAATACAGATGGTTTCATTACGGCGTCCCGCTTCATGCTGACCGAAACTGCTGTTGTTTAGGATAGAAACTCCCCCCTGCCCTGTGACCGGTTGTGATTTTTGGATGCGCCATGCAATCTCGCTGGTGGAGTTGTGGAATTCGGCTGGTGGCATGGACGTGGGTTTGGAGTCTGGCGTTGCACGGAGCATGGTGCATCCCCGCAAATGAAGGTAAAACACGCACGGACACTTTGGGGTTGATGGCAGTTGTTCGGTGACACGTCTTTGTTTTAATTGCCACTGACAGGCACGAGTGGAGGTTAAGGGTCCGTGTCTGGTGCTCCAGCCCCCCGGTCTCTTCTATCCTGGCTGACACGGCTCTGACGCTGTCTGACCGAAAAGGAGGTCGCCTATACAATACATTTAAGCAGAGAATGTTTATGACAGCTGTGTCCCCGAAGTGTTTAATGACTGTTTGTTCCGAAATAGTAAAGGCTGAGATAAAAAGAGGACCTTTGATCAGAACATGCGTCTATCCAGATAACCGGTCCTTGGAGAACCGACAGACGCACAGTGCGCTGCAGACATTCACTGTGAAGATCTTACACATCTTCCGTTGCAACTCAAACTGCTCACTTGACGTTGAAGCACCCTGTGGTGGTGTTATAAAATAAGGTTTCTCGTGTGGAATTCCAATTTCCTTGCTTTGGCAATGAGTTTTAAATTACCTCAGGTTTCTAATAATAATATAACTTTAAGCGTTTCATTGAGACATTTCTCTGCATTCCCTTTTAAAGCTTATTTTTGGTTCAGTCAAGCATTCTGTCTTTTTAAATATTCGCATTGAATCCTTTTAACCTCTGATACTGTTGAAATGGCTGACAGCTAGTGAGTTCAGACTGTAGCTTGCAGTAAAGCTACTTATCTTGTCACATATTAACAGTTTCATTTGGCACCCCCTCGTAATTTGGCACAACATTTCCATAATGGTCGGTGCAAATTGTGATTTAATCCATTTTGATGTCTGAACTAATGCACCTGCAGCCCCCTGCACTAAATATAAAATATGGACATTTACAGTGTTGGTTAAAAATAAGAAAAAATACAATATTCCAATATTGTCCGCAGACTTGGTATTGTAATGGATCAAGATGAGTGCCATTGTTTAGGGCTATTTAGACAGCATTTACATCCATCAAACTGCTTATACTTCATGTGGCAGATTTATTTGGTCAAATGTACAATCACAAAAGTGTTTCCCAAAGTGTGACCACTCAGGGGTCCTGGAGCGGTTCGCAGGGCAGCCTTGGGGCAACATGGAGAAGAGTTAAAGTTTACCCAGGATGTATAGGTTCCCGTTTGGGACAGTGTCCTCTGAATTAAATAACCTCCCTAGGGATTTGTATTCTGGGCTTTATGAGATATAGCACATCAATATACTGGTGCAAACTGGCATATAGGTTCCCAAAAGGTGTGAAAAGTCTACATAACTTCTAAAAAGTGTTTGACATAAAATCCACGATAACTAAACACTCATAAGGTGTGTTGTCTGCAGCAGAAATATCCGTACTTTAAAACACTTGAATTCCTGCCTTGTTAAAGCCAAGCTTGAGGCTGTGAGAAAAAATCAATGGCAGACTGAATCACAACTTTGTGTTTTGACTCCAGTGATGAAAAGAGATATGTCCTTTATATACGCCTCCACATAATCCTCTGCTGTCTTTATTTATCACACCTATTCTTTGTTTGCTCTGCAACAGCACTTGTTTAAAATGTATTGTCTCTAAAGTGCTCCCAGTTAAATGTAACTGAAAAAAACATGTGCATAGACACCTTTCTTAAGATGCTTAAAGAGCCAAAGGCTGCAACCTTATGCACATTTTAGATTAATTTGGCTCATATTTGCATTGCATTGGATAATCATTGCATGCATAATTGGAGAGTATGGTGAAGCCCATAATTAAAACAGCCAATATTCTCTCATTGGGCTAATTTATTGTAATTGAAAAAGTAGGATTAAACAATTTTTCGGATCTTCTTAAACATCTTGGGAGGAATCATTAGGGACATTTCCCACTTACCCATCTCACATTTTGTTTTAGGCTATGCTGCATAATCTGTCCTCACATCACACTGCAGACTTACCTCATACGACTGTTCCAGGTTGAATTGTACCTTTCATTTGTGTTGATATACTATAAGTGTTTCCTGAAGTGAAGGGGAAATAAGTGAACAAAGAAAACTCCTGACACTTCCTTAATTATATTAAAATGACCTGCAGTATGGTTTCTGCGCTAATGGCAGACACTGAGGAAAACTGCACACACTGTGCCACTTTGATTAATTTCCTCTCTTGAGGCTAATCCATTCTTATTTAAATCGATCAATTTCTGCGAACATCTCCTCGATGCAGAGCCAGGTGCCTCACATCTGTTTTAGAGATTGTCATTCTGTTCGATTAATAATAATAATGTCTGGCTAATGAGGGGTTTGTGAGCAGACACTTTAGGGAGTCCATCACTTTTTCTTTTTGTGGGTAATGGCGTTGATCAAATGAGGGGTGGTAGATACAGTTAAACGCTTTGAAAAGAAGTGCATATCTGCCCGCTGGCCTGTGGGTCTGTTTTAGAGAGACAAGCCCGGAGCAATCCATGTAAATGCCACGTTCAAACACTTAAGATGGAAATGCGTTAAGGAAATACAAGTGGTTTGATTTAACCATTGGTTTCAAAACTAGAAGGTAATATATGGCTTCAGACAACATTGTAGGGGTCACTGAAGTCAAGTTGGACCTTAAACCCATCACCTTAGAGTAATTGAAAATAAAAAAAAGCTGCCTCAGAGCAGATATTCCGTTATCAATCAAAAAAGAATTGTATTCCCAATGCTAAAAATCCACTTACTTTTGAGCACCCTTGTAATATTTAGAGTATCCTTGAAGTAATGTCACCTTTCATTTTATGGTGATGACTTTTAATAATAAGTTCTGTAGATCATTGTCACGGCTGAGCTCCAACTTGTTAGGTGGTTTGATCCTTAGAGAGAACGCTAGAGAGTGAAAGAGGTAACGTATCCCTTATGATCTAGTTCAGCATCACTTATCTCTTCTTTATGGCCTAATTAGTTGTCTAATCGCCTCCTAAGGACATCTTTTATTTTTCTCTGCAGAGCAGCGGAGACAGTAAGACTAGTGGAGTGTGTGTGTCTGTGTGTTGGGAGGGGTTTACACATCGATTGTGTCTCAGTTAGTGAACTAGCTTCCACCTCAGATTATGTTCTGCCAACTGTGGATGTTCTATTCTTTAGTTGACAAGTCAAGATTTATATGAGGATTGGTGTTTTTATGACATGGCTTATTAATGAAATAATGCACTCAACAGCTGCTTTAAGACATGGATAGCATTTATGATACTGAACCTTTGGACGATTGATTTAATCTCTTCCATTAAGTATTATTGTTTGCTCTTCATTAATGTTTCACAGGACTTTCTTGTTGGCAGTTCCAAACAGAAATACACAAGAACATCTTCAAGGCTTATAGTTGGAAAGATGATCACTGGTTTATACCAATATGCCTTGTTTGTGATGCTTAATTACATTCAAGGGAAAATAGAAAGCAGATATCTAATAATGTGAAGACCATTGTCCTCTGTAATTAGCTGTCACTCACCGTTTTTCATTTGTCATAACACATTTCAAAAGTGTGAAATACACACCAATTATCGTGGATGAGGTGTAGGGCTGCTCAATTAATCGTATTTTAATCGCAATTACGATTATGGCTTGCGAAGATTACGAAAACAACGTAATCGAGATAAAACGATTATTTTGTTATTATTACTTTTTTTTTTAAATTACATTTTTTTTAAATTGGTTTTTCAGTTGAATTATACTTAACGTTCTGGGTGATGAACTGTTCAAAACATACTGTTCAACATTTTTTTCTCCAATAAATTGATGTTTTCAAAGTAAATACCCAAATAATCGAGATTATGATTTTTGCCATAATCGAGCAGCCCTAATGAGGCGTTGGTTAGGCATCTTAGATTTGATAGGGAAATAAAGTCACATTATTGAGCACGTGTTTGCATATAAGATGTTTTGAATGAGATCCCTTTGCATATGTTTTCTTTGTTGTTTTTTATCCCAGCATTTGAGAGCTTTGTGGACCAAGTTATGATAACAGCTACAGTTTCCAATGAACAGTGGTTAAAAACCTTTTGCACAACTTCAGGAGAAAGAGTGCCTGTACCAAGCCCCTTAACTGGATATACCATTAGAGCAGGGGTGGGGAACCTTTTTCCTCTCAAGGGCCATTTCAATTTTTACAACATCCTCCGAGGGCCGTACAAATGATTGACCTCTGCTTAAAAATACTAAAATCACAGCCCATTCATTTGGCCTTTCTTTCATGCTTTGCAAAGAAAAAGCAACCTCTTAATCCAGACATTTTACCATGACTCTTACCATGTACCATCCTTGGCTGAGACTGAGATTGATATTGAAAGTGGATGAGATTGTTGATGATGTTGGAAATTGTTGATGATATTGGTGATGTTGTTAATGATGTCAGGAATTATGTCTTGAATGGTGTTGTATTATTGTTGTATTGTTTGGACCCCAGGAAGAGTAGCTTTTGTCAAGAGCAAAAGCTAATGGGGATCCTTAATAAACATAAACCATGTGCATGGTTGTGGCATGACCACCAAAACAGAAAGATATGGACACAAGATGTGTGCAAATGTATTTAGTTTCCTATCCATGTGAACATGATTTAAGTGTGGGGGGGGGACCTAACCTCCTCTAGGGGGCATGCTCCCCCGGGAATATATATTTTTAAATGTTGAAGTTAAAAGCATCAATCTGGTGTGAGAGCAACATTAGGAGATCTATGGATACATCTCTCAACACCGAACTGTAAGCAGATTTTCTTTTTCTTTATGGATATTTTACAAATCACTCCCCTTTTAAACTGTATTCTTGTTTATTTAACAACTTTTTTTTACTGTCATATAGTATTTTATACCAGTTTTTCCTTTATTCTCTTGTTTTTTTATAACTATAATGATCATATAAAGATGTGCCTTTACCTCACTGGTTGTATAAAAAGCTTCTTATATTCGTTAGCATAGCTAGCTAACCAGATGCTAATAACAGTCAAGTTATTGCCTGTATGATCAGTATGACAGATGAACAGATCGCCACTGGGCTTTCAACTAAAGACACAGCCACGCAAAAGCTGCGGCATGTGTACGGCTCCTTATGGGTAGGCTAATTTTTGGAAATGCTGGAGCGGCGTTCTGGTGCTCTCCGGCTGAACGTCCTGTCAGACGAGACATATACCACGTGATGACACGTTAGGCTTGTGTTGTGTTCAAGGACCAATTATTACCAACTCATGTGTTCAACTCATGTGTTCAATTTTTTGCGTGTGTTTATAAATTACCTCGAGGGCCGCATCAAATGGCCAAATGGGCCGGAGGTTCCCCACCCCTGCATTAGAGGAACCTATAAGTGAAAGCATGCCGTTGCTGATCAGAGTTGCACTACATCACAGAGGGTTGGCCCTTGCTGTTGTAGACAAACCCAAACAACATATAAAGCAGGAAAATGTCTGTTCTTCTAAGAAGGTGTTCTCCAAGTCCCTTGATTGTTTCCTTGTAAGATTGAAAATATATGCTATACTATGCTTTTATTGGTGGTTTGCTCAATGTTTTTGCTCAAATTACAAATAGGGTAGATTGACATTGGAGCAACCAGTTTGACTTTCTCTTTTATTGTTTGAGCACACTGTGACAGACTAAGAACAAACCAAGTGTTATCACAGATGAGATAAAGAAAACTGAACTCCGGCCTGACAAAACTCGAGTTTAATTTATGACAGTGCATGTCATTGCAAATTCAGATGGGCTTTAAAGCTGTTGCAAGACAGATACACCATATGTTCACTCATGTGATTGACTGTGTTCATTGTCTGTGAAAATGCTGTTGAGGTATTTTTCATGTAAATGCAGAGAGAAATACCATCCAGTTGATGAAACGTACTTTGGAACAATTGTTATTTAGTCATAATTAACATTTTTGTGAACAGAAAATCTGTGGTAAAACGCATTTTAAAAGTTTTTCCAAAAACTCTCCTCACAGTTTCCTGTGGGATACACTTAACATTTACAATGGGACTTTGTTGTGAAAGGAGCATTTGGACACACGGATAATACAGAACTCAGGAGACTACATCGTCACCATTGCTGGAAAAGATGAGAAGGAAACATGTTCTGAGGAGTGCACTAGTCAGGATATTGCACTTGCTTACATCACAAGAAAACCTCTCAGACGTGTCCTTTTTTGTTTTGATTTATGTTTTTTTGCCTACATTTAAGACTTTCTTTCTTTTCTTTAACAGTGAACCTGCTGGATTCTCGCTCTGTGGTGGGTGACCTAGGATGGGTGGCCTATCCTAACAATGGGGTGAGTACAACCATTGTAAGATGTTTCAATTGTTGGCTGCATTTGGCAAATACCACACATTTATATTTGTCTTAGTTGATGTTGTCAGCGAACATAATGTCATTATTTCTTTATTGGTTGTCTTTTTAGAAACACATAGTTAGTCTTGTTTAGACATGGTTGCTACTGTAGTACTAATACCACTGCTATCAAACCACAACAACGCTTTTTAAAATATTGTTGTAGTCTTTCAATAGTTCCGTAAGACCCAGTAACCCATCATCAATGATCGAAATGAAGCGACCAAATAATTTTAAACTATACAATTATAAGTCCAGGGTTAGGGTTAACAAATCTGCTACTGCTGGTAAGCACAGTTGAGGTTGTAAACTCACTGTATGTGTATGACCAACGACACCTATGACTTTATTATTTTACACTTAAGCACATTTATTTTATCAAGGTTATAGTTCATTCAATTTCCAATCCCTCTCAGTTCATTATCGGGGTCAATTAAATTCATGAGTAAGATATTGAAAGTCATGATGGAATATATTATTCTCAAACCAGGAGTTGAGTTTCCATTACCAAGTATTCCCAGGGCGAAGGCTAATAGGAGAATGACTTACTGGAGTTGGGAAATAGTTGGAATTATGTATTTTAAAGAAAAAAAGAACTGGTGTTTAGTTTAGAAAATGTATTCATGTATTCTGGAGTTCCAACACCACCTCCACTCGTGAGACAGTAATCTGCCACCTTTCCTGGGAACAATTTAATTCCCCATCCTCCGGGGGATTGATTGTGTTACGGTTGGTTTTGTGTATCTATTTTATCCACATGGAAAATCTCTCATATAGTCATAACTGTTGGCAAACATTCAGCTGTACACGCCAGACCAATGTGCCGACCATGGCGTTTTTTCTCGGCTCTGGGTATTCAAATCACAGTCTGCTCTGTGGCTGTATGTAGATCTGAGAGATAGTGCTGACAAAAGCAGCTGTATGCGCAATCATATTAATGAGGACGTGATTAGGCCCATGGTTTCCACAATGCAAGTGCATAAATAACTGCATTCAGGCTGGACGAATAGGAAATAAAAGACGTGATAAGGATCTCATTATGACATCCTCTCTTATTAGCTGTTGTGTTTTTATTCAGCTACAGCTTAAGGTTATTAAAAATGTGTTTTTTCTTCCTTCTATTAAACCTGTCTGACAATGAAATGACAAACATGTCCCATAAAATAAATAATTGAATCACTGTTTGTCATTTTAAATAACAGATGTTATCAATGAAGACCATTATAATTCTTATCATGTTCAGCATATATTGGACAGAACCCAATCTGCAGCAAGCTCACACACACACACACACCACACACACACAACACACACACACACACCACACACACACACACCACACACACACACACACACACACACACACACACACACACCACACACACACACACACACACACACACACACACACACACACACTCAGACATTCACACCCGGTGGCAGCAGTCTTCCGTGGCTAAATAAGATGTTGAAGAGGCACAGATTTTTTTTGTCTCATGTTCCAGATGGTTTTTCCCATCCCTCCTTTTCTCCTCCTCCAACCCCCCTTCGTCCCCATCATCATCTCTTCTGTCATCCTTCACTTTTTTTCTGGCTCACTGCCCATCCTTCCTTGTCATCGAACATTCATCTTACTCCTTATCCCCATTTTCTTCTCATTCTTGTAATCTCCTTGTCTTTTTATCTCACTATCTCCTTTCCGCTGCTTTTCCTCTTCTCCCAGAGCTTCATTGTGCTTTTGAAAGATTTTGAAAGATTAATTTAAGCAAAAAGCAGATTGAGTAAAATAAGGGGTTTTAAAAAAGTGTTTCAGATTTGATGGACGACCTTGAAATGTTATGACACATTTCAATGAGCAGCATGACACTGACATAGTAGCTGAACTTGAAGACTGTAGATTAGGTTGTCACTGAAAACACTTCTCTCCTCGTCTATGACAAGCTCCTTGGAACAATATAAACGAAATGAAAAAGTGTCCTTTTTTAAGTCTACTTCAGAAGTCTGTCTTGAAGTTATAGCAAGCAGGAGGCCAGGGTAAATGTGGCTATGAAGCCTAGCAGGTTAGTTGAACAATCTGGAGACAGGTGTGTCAGAGGTAGAGATTGGAAAAAGACGAAGGGCTGCAGGCAGTCAGACAGCAAAAGCTTAAGACGGACAAAGTGTCAGAGAGAACTTGGAGAAAATCAGACTCGCTGTAACCTCTCGAGAACAGAAGTAGTCATGGGCAAGGAGCTTCTGATGAACTGGAGAAAGAGACAAGATTTTTTATTTTGTTCCAAGTTAAAAGAAGAGGCAATGTGTTCTGTCTCTGTCTCATTGTTGGTAGCATTAGGGCTGATGAGGTCGGAAATAGTTGTGTACAGACTAGAGTTGAATGCAATAATTACAGCTTGAAGATTTTCTGTAGATTATTCACAAGTTGTTTTGCTGAATGCTGATACAGAAATGTTAGAACGAAAACCACCAACAAAATTCAAGAACGTAACACAAGTCTTTATTTGAGCTATAGTTGGAAGACTCATGAGTTGGTAATAATTGGAATGTATGTTAGTTAATGAAAGGCTTAGCATTCATATTAATGTAGTGATGGAAAGGAAAGGGGACAAAGGGGATACAAATAAAGGTGAAGGAAAAAAACATAGCCAAATGTTGGTTCCTTGCCCATTTTGGACCATTTGGCTGTCAAGCCTTTGTCATCTAATAACTCCATTACTTCCTGTTCCAATTGCATTGGAAAGAGTGCTTGTTCGTAGATTGTGTGAGCTGCCAATCACATGTAATTTGGTGGATGCTTTTATCTGCTGCCTCCTCAAGCATCTTCAAGGGACAAGAATACAGAAAGAAAAGTCATCATGAAAAGATGCCATTAAAGAGATGGACCCCACAATATGGATCATTTTAGTGTCCATCTATCTCAATGACCCCCCATTTTGCTCGATCTTTATCCCTGCATTAGTAGGCAAAGTCCACTGGGCCTATAAGGACGCACACCAAGCCGAACTCAAAGAACCTCCCACTGATAAAGGATGGCTGTTGGATGGCTGTTAAAATGCTTTTAAATGTCTTGTTTTGTCCAACAACACTCGACCACACAAAGTTGTTGGTCAGTTTACAATCATACAAAACAGATAAAAGCAGCAACTTGGCACATGCTAAGCACAGCCAAATAATACTGTTTATTTTTACTTTTAAAAAACGACTTAACTGAGGACTTTTCCTAATAGTTGACAGTTAATTATCTGACAACAAATGGACTAATTGTTGCAGCAGTAACTGCGACAAATATTGAGAATGCAATTTAATTGGGATTAGTTTAAACATTTTAAAATAATTGAACCCTAGTCATAGTTGTGGTTGACATATTTGTCCGTGTGTAGTAAGGATAATGCTGCTGGGTTTGGCCTAGTGTGTCTTTGAATATATTGTCTTATGACATAGTAAAACTAAGCTAAAACAAGAATGGTTGACGACAGCGTAAAGATAACAAATTGGAGACCCCTAGTGATACAGTGGACAGTGGCACTTCTGCACTTAAAGCTGCTCAGACTGAAAGCTGATGAGCTCAAAGAACACTATCAAGTGCTATTAAATATTTGTCTGACAACTGTATCTGCCAGCTGTCTGTCTCTCTCCATTAAATCAACAACGGCTGAAATCGGTCATCATTTGGCCCTACTTTCACAACAGGCTAAAGTTTGTGCGATAGAATAAAAAAACTTAAAATTGTGAAATTGGTGTAATTGGATAGTCTTAAGAGTCGATAAGAAAGCTGTCAAAAAAACAAAAGGGCAATCTAGCATCCAAGGTGCTAAGCATATACTCAACAATGGCCTAATTATGGCTTTTTTGGTTCAGGATCCTAAAGTGTCTGTCCCTAATGATTAAGGCAAGGCAAGTTTATTTATATAGCACTTTTCAACACAAGGCAATTCAAAGTGCTTTACAAAAAATGAAAGACATTAAGAAAATGGCATTTAAAATCAGTCATTAAAAAGAAAAGCTAATAAAATAAACATTAAAAGAAAAAATACATGGATAAAAGTTACAGTGATAAAAGTTACAGTGCAGTCTAAGATATGAATAGTTCAATTAAAAGCAGCGACAAAAAGAAAAGTCTTCAGCCTGGATTTAAAAGTAGTCAGAGTTGCAGCGGACCTGCAGGTTTCTGGGAGTTTGTTCCAGATATTTGGAGCATAATAACTGAACGCTGCTTTACCATGTTTAGTTCTGACTCTGGGGACAGAAAGCTGACCAGTCCCTGAAGACCTGAGAGATCTGGATGGTTCATAATTTAGCAGGAGGTCAGAAATGTATTTTGGGCCTAAACCATTCAGTGCTTTATAAACCCGCAGCAGTATTTTGAAATCTATTATTTGACACACAGGAAGCCAGTGTAAAGACTTCAGAACAGGAGTGATGTGATCCACTTTCTTAGTGTTAGTGAGGACTCGAGCAGCGGCGTTCTGAATCAGCTGCAGCTTTCTAATAGATGTTTTAGTGAGACCCGTGAAGACACCATTGCAGTAGTCCAGTCTACTGAAGATAAAAGCATGGACAAGTTTTTCCAAATCCTGCTGTGACATTAGTCTTTTAATCCTAGATATATTCTTTAGGTGATAGTAGGCTGATTTAGTAACTGTTTTAATGTTACTGTTGAAACTCAGGTCAGAGTCCATGACTACACCTAGATTTCTGGCTTTATCTGTTGTTTTGAACATTGCACACTGAAGCTCAGCGCTAACTTTTATACGTTCTGCCTTTGCTCCAAAAACCATTACCTCAGTTTTATCTTTGTTTAATTGGAGAAAGTTCTGACACATCCAGTCATTGATTTGTTCAATGCACTTACTCAGTGTTTTAACTGGAGAATAGTCTCCTGGTGAAATTGTTAAGTACATTTGTGTGTCATCCGCATAGCTATGGTAACTTATTTTGTTGTTTTTCATTATCTGAACCAGTGGTAGCATGTAGATGTTAAAGAGAAGAGGCCCCAAGATGGAGCCTTGAGGAACCCCACATGTCATATTTGTCAACTCAGATGTGTATTTACCTATAGAAACAAAGTTGTTTCTGTCCTTTAAATAGGATTCAAACCAATTTAGAACTGTTTCCGAAAGTCCCACCCAGTTTTAAGAGAAGGGGCTCAACTGTTTGTGTTAGAGATTTGTTGTTTTGCAGCTTATATGCTTTTTAGTTGACTTTTTCCCTCGTTACACTTTACAGTACCATGAAGGTAGGAGGACAGGTTAGGCTAAAAGAGACAGGAGAGGAGGATTATATGAGAACGTGGAACTTAGCTTTAGAAGTTCTGACAGGAAGGCGGGAAGAAGGAGAAATTGGGGACAAGGAAGAAGACAGGAGGAATTTAGGAGCTGCAATTGAACATGGTTAAAGGAAAAGGGGGACCAAAGGAAGATAGGCTAAGACTTAAGATTAGATCATTAAGAAAATAATAGAGGACACAAAAAAATGATGATAGACATGGATGGCGTGAAAAGGCATGAAGCATGAGAACTGGGATCTTGGTAGTTATTGTATAGAGGCAGGGATTGGGGGTAGAGCATGGGGGAAGGGTTCTTCCATGGATAAGGAGTGACAGGGACAGTTCTGTCACAGTGCCATGATGGTCAGCGGTAATGAGCGGTAATAATACGTTGTAGACAGCTTTATAGACTTAGAGCCAGGAGGCCACTCAGCAAAGCCACATGGGGTCAGCTGAGTTGTGGGACACGCGGACGCACAGCACACCCACACACATTGTAGTCAACAAAACAAACATGCACACTAATGAGTAGCTGGGAGGATGCCTGTAGGGACAGTTCAGTTTGGAGGTGAAGTAGAGAAAAAGGTGGTGCAGAGGGTAAATATATACTAGGGCTGTGGGATCAGGACTAAAAGGAATGATACTAAGAACTTCTAATTATTAAGACTATTCAAGTGATTGAGACTGAAAACGTTCAATGTGTTGGCTTCTTGGTTTATCAGAGAAAAGCAGTAATTCACCCAAATCACAACAAAACATTTGTTCTACTTTTCTTTTCTATGCAGTTTTCGTTTGCCGTGTCAATGTGTGAGATATTTGCATCGTGTACAACGTGATGTGAGCGAATGACATCTTGATCAACCTTTGAAAAAAATATATCAGAAACATTCCTACTAGGAAACAATGTCCCAAACGTCACACTATGTGATCCCAACCATTTCTATAGGAGCTGCCCACAGCAAACTGGTTATTATCCTGAGAAACTGGGATATTATTTTTCTTGGAATTGGGTGAACTGACCCTTATGAAGAGGTTGTGAGAATTGCATGGTAGTGAGTAGGGCACACTGAAGCTTTTTTTTTTTTTAAACAAATGGATGGTGAATTAAGATAAAGACTTGACGTACTGTACAATTAACTCCAAAATATGTATTAGGGTTTAAAATGTTGACTATTAGTCGTGCATGCTTTTGCTTGTTCAGTGCCTCATGATATCATGGGTGGTCCTGACCCTACAGTGTTAGTATTTTACTCGCTTAACCGAGCCTTATGTTTGACCTCAGGAGGCCCCTACTTAAATCCAAGTACAATAGTTTAAAACACTGAGTGGAATAAGCACTTGATCTTCCAATAGAGCAGCTCATGCCTGGAAAACCAGGCTCAAAGTTATCACAATCCCTTCTTTCTGCCTGTCTTCTGTACCAAATCCGACCATTTCTCCATAAATATTAACTTTTGGTTCATTCATAAAACGGGAATGGAGGCAATGAGTTAATGAGACTCGAACATGGCAAGTGGCAAACACAAATAACTGTGGGAAACAAAATGCAGCATGTCCAGTGTTGATACTGATAGTTGTTAAGTTCTGAAAAAAAAGGAACGGAATCCGGTTGTCTTTGCGAGCGTTGCGCCAACAATAATACAGCTTCCAAATGCTAAGGATGGGTGGGGGGAAAAGTTGTTTATTTGTGTCATTTTTTATCCTTACTTTAAAAAGAAATACAACGATGAAGTAGGAATGTCATTTTGTTTCATCTCTTTAAAGCTTTAAATGTGTGAAATCTGTGCTTAAACTAACATTAATAGTGTAGTTAAAAGTGTGTGCTTCAGTGCTCTTTTCCAAGGGTATTTATATATTCACAACCAGTTCCATGATAGTTTGATGACTGATCAGTTGAATGAGTTAGCTTAAGCAAGAGTGATGTCAATCAACATTAGCAATCAAACAGTTAATACAGTAAAGCTGCACAGTAGGGGACTTCTCAGTGCAGACAACAGAAACCACGCTTTCTACACATACTGAATATTTGCTCCCAGGCAAACTTGGAGAAGGTCGCCTCTTTAACTCCCTGCTGGACTAGCAACAATGATTGGTGTGTGTATGTGTTGTGTGGTGTGTGGTGTGTGTGTTAAGCTGTGTAAAGCTCAGAGCAGGCTGGTGGATCTGTGTGATCTAACCAGTAAGAGGCTTAATGTCTGCACTGGGACTGACTGGGCTGGAGTCTTGGAGCGATAGGAAAAAGTCACACACAGATCTGTCTGTGCATCTACAGTATTCTTGTGAGGACCCTGGACAAACTGCATTTACTTTAACCCTAAGCTATGTCTAACCTCTACTCTCAAAACCAGGTGTCCACCCTGAAACAGCCTTTAAAAAGTATGAAGGTTTGTGGAAGTGGCTTCAAATTGGACTGCTAAAAGATTGAAGTATAAGAACACACTATAATCATATCAACATGGAGGCATTGAACAACAAACATGCTGTCTAATAACACAGAACTATGAGCCAAAAAAAGAAAATTCAGACTGAAATAGGGAGGTACGAAAAAGACAGATGGAGAAAAAGACAGAAGGTTTTACACAACGGCTACAGCATTGAGTAATATGGGCTATTAAGCTATAACACCAGATCATAGTCTGGTCCCTCTGGCCGTATTACAGTGACATGATGAAGCGCCTGTATTAGCCATGGGAGAGTGCTAGTGATGCAGATAATAGCCACGTCCCAGGAGACCTGCAGATGGAATTAATGCTGCTGTCTGACACACACACACACACACCCGCACACACACACACACACACACACACATACATACACACACACACACACACACACACACACACACACACACACACACACACACACACACACACACACACACACACACACACACACACACACACACACACACACACACACACACACACACACACACACACACACACACACACACATACACACACACACACACACACACACACACACACACACACACACACACACACACACACACACACACACACAAGCTTGAACACTGACGGAATAATTTGCATATATGCACACACAGGCAGGAATTGATACACACGCACACACACAGACATTATAAAGGTATGGCTACAGTACCCAGAGATGAACACACCTTTAAGTTCCTGTTAATTATATTTTTTGCTGACAAGAACTCCTCCCCTTATTCATGATAAATGCATATAAATTATATAACACTATCTCATTATATGCTGTCTGTTGCAATAGGATGAATCAAGGTGGAAAGGATGAGGATTATTCTGCCATCTATACTGTACCTAGCCACACACACACACACACACACACACACACACACACACACACACACACACACACACACACACACACACACACACACACACACACACACACACACACACACTTTCTGATTTCCTTGCCACTGTTAAGCCTTTCAACAAGGTTACTGTTGCTCATTCTTAGTCATTTCCCATGGTTCTCAATTATCTGTTTGTCAGGGTGTTTCGTAGTATTCCAATACTAGCACAGATTTGACAAGACAGTTTTTCGCATTTATACTTTTCAGTATACATTTTTTCTCTTTCTCACCTGCATTTAAAAATACTATAAACATGTTTTAGTAAACTAAATCCTTTTTTTGACAAAAACAGAGAGAACAATCTGAAATCTGCCAAATTATGATATAGTCTGAAATGATTTGATGAAAACATTTAAAGAAGATTTCACATCATAGCAAATGTTATGTTTTGGTCAGGGGTGGTGGAACGTAATCAAAAAAATGTGTTCAAGTACTATAGTACAACATTTCTCAAATATTTTAATTTAAATGAAGGTCCAAGGTACAATTGCCAAAAGGGAGTCCAAAATATGAATACAACTTTATCCATTAGAATTTCGTTTTTCTTCTTTGTAACCCCATGTATTAATATAAAAATGCTAAGATCCCTAGTTTAGGATGCATAGTACTAAACTACTTGGGTGTATACGAAGTAGCTAAAGCTAACTCCACCTTTGCTTACATATTTATCAGAGCCCAGCTCTTCTTTATGTTACCTAAGGGAAGGCATCCATATGTGTTTCACCATTACCTTTTTTGGCACTCTCTTAATAATCTCCCTCTGTTCTTTGCCTCAGTGGGAGGAGATCGGGGAAGTAGACGAAGACTACGCTCCCATCCACACCTACCAAGTGTGCCGGGTGATGGAGCAGAACCAGAACAACTGGCTCCACACCAACTGGATCCTGACGGAGGGCGCCCAGCGGGTCTTCATCGAGCTCAAGTTCACCCTGAGAGACTGCAACAGCCTGCCCGGGGGGGTTGGGACCTGCAAGGAGACGTTTAACATGTACTACTACGAAACGGACGAGGGCGACGAGGAAATTGACGGAGAGATGAACGATGGGACGGGGATGACGGAGGAGGTGGACAGGGCGATGAAGGAGAGCAGATACTTCAAAGTGGACACCATAGCAGCTGATGAGAGCTTCACAGAGCTGGACCTCGGGGACCGCGTGATGAAGCTCAATACCGAAGTCCGCGATTTAGGCCCCCTGACCCAGAAGGGCTTCTACCTGGCGTTTCAGGATCTGGGGGCCTGCATCGCTTTGGTCTCGGTGCGTGTTTTCTACAAACGCTGCCCGTTTTTGGTGAAGAGTTTGGCCGAGTTCCCCGACACCATCCCGGGCTCAGAAGCCTCGCAGCTGGTGGAGGTGGTGGGCCGCTGCGTCAATAACTCTCTGCCTTTATATGAGCCTCCCAGGATGCACTGCAGCACGGAGGGCGAATGGCTGGTGCCGATAGGGAAGTGTGTGTGCCAGCCGGGATTTGAGGAAATCAACGGATCCTGTCAAGGTAAGAGGGAAAAACGTGAGCGTGGAGTACTGCTTAAACAATCAAAGTCAGTTAATGATTGATACAAAAATGGTAATTTTCATAATCAGTTATTCATTTATCCAAGAAAAAAGCCAAATTAATAATTTGACGTGAGAATTGCTTAGTTTTGACCCCCTTGAATCATTACCCAGTGTTAGCATTTTGGTCTTTCTTTAGGTTTCAGGGTGCACAGCCTGTGTGTTTGCTTGTGGGTTGTCATCTTCCTCCAGTTGTTTATTTTTATACCCATGAACATGTTTGTTTTTAGTATTGTGTGTTTTGAGTGTGCGCACAGATCTGTTTTATTCTTTTACTTAGAGTGTTTCTCGCTGTGACTGTGTCTGTGTGTGTGTGTGTTTCTCCCTAGCTTAGTGGAGGGTATTCCCTCAAGCCCTGCAGCACTTTGCTGCTCTCACACAGCCGTTGTTCTGCTCCGACTCAAGCCCAAACATCCCCCCTGCCGACCTTAACTGCCATTTCCACGGGCACCCAGAGCCTCTCTGTTTTTACTCTCCTTCACTCCTCTCCAATCTTCCTCTGCGCCGTCTGTAATTACTCAATTTTCAGACTCTACTACTCACTAGACGCTAGAGAAGCTCTGAGTGGTGCGGCGAAATTTCAGAAAAATACCAGACTTTAAAATGTGTGATTATTTGCTAGCACTCCAGTGTTTCATCTGGTCACACAGTGCCTTACCAATCGAGTGTCAGGCAATGAACTAAAAGATTGATGCTCAACCACAAATAGCAAACTGTTGAAGAGTACATGAAGAGAGATTATCTTTTGCTTTTCAATTTTGCACGTCTATGAGTTGGTATGTGCACTATTGTTCTGAATTCTATAAATATACTCCATTATAAAAAAACATTATGTTTCGGGCTTCTGTACTCAAAGCCCATATGTTAGTTTTAGCTCAAAACTGGGCCTCAAGTATTAAAGGGGCCCTATTATGCTAATTTTCAAGTTCATATTTGTATGTCTACTGTCAAATGTTTCCATGCTTTAATGTTCAAAAAGTGCAGCACCTCTTTTCCCCCTCAGTCTGAAACCAGAGCCCAGTCTACTCTGATTGGTTAGCTGGCCAGCTCTGTTACGATTGGTCTACCGCTTAGAGATGTCCCGCCCCTTACCCTATCATGTACAATGTGTTGGCCTGCTAGAACATAGGAGCGGTGTCACCATGTTGCAGAAGTAAACTAAGGTGTCCAGTCAAGGCATTTCACGCAGGGGGTAGTATTAGCCTTTGCAGACCTGACGTGGATGGCAGAAGTGGTTTTCCATAGAATTTGTCACACAATGCCTGCAGAATTAAATCATTGCCTTTTTAAAACAGCACCCCTCTTATTAGCTCAGTAACTTATAATCACATGGTAACACATAGCTGTGTAACAAAGTGCGCACTATCTCTAGCTTAACTTAGTCAGACATGGAGTCTCTGTGGGGAGATCATTAGCAGTAGCTGCCAGTGGCCTGCCCGGAGTCATGCTGCCACCGACGGTACAGTCACATAGACTGTCACATATCTGACGCTGACAGGGCTAAAATATAACTCTGGTGTTCAGCAGTAATAAACAAGAGCTCATTCTGTACTGGGTATATCAGCGCTGCATGGCAACAGGTTTTGGTCTTAAGTATTTCAAAATGATGACTATATTTGTGCAATTTAGGAAAGGGACCTGTGTTGTGTGTTGCACAAAGACTGCATGGTATTGCACCACTGGATGAATAATATACTCATTATGTAAATACCCAAGAATAAAAAAGCGTAAACTTCAGAATTAATTATACCACAACAGGTACTGTGGATTGATGACAAAATAATGCAATCTTGTGACTTTTTGCTGTATTGGACTTGTCTTACTACATTATTGGACATATGATTTCAACTTCTTCCACAATAATATGATTTGGTTTGAAAATGGAAAACCTTTCCTACATTTATGCCTAGAAGCCACATTATTGTAGGTGTTTCCTTACTTAGACGGAAACATTCAAAAACACTATTGTTGCTATTTTAGTTTGAAAGCTCCAGGTTTGCTTTTTAGTCTGGACGGACAGAACCTGACCCCTGACCCCTTTAAAAAAAAAAAAAAAAAGGATCACCCCTTGTTTTCGATTCTTTACAACGTGTCTTCCCTTCTTCATTATCATGTTAAACTTCTCCATAATAATTTAAACAACATCATGACTACTTATGGTTAACATAGATACCAATCTACAGATGTCGCTGACTTTGTTGCCAGTAATTCTCCAATAACAGGTTAGCTATTAGCATAATATCAATAAGGTTAATGCTAATGCTAAAATAAAAAATGTGGACTGCAGTTTCTCTTTCTCTTAGAGGATGAACCACAATGGCCGTGTTTAACATTATGCCTTTCATACTTTGGCATGGTAGATATCTAATATCTATAAGTACAGCATCACAGAGCTGCTAGCATGGCTGTAGACTTTTACTCTCGGTTGTTCTTAAGAGTATGATTCTTTGAAGTAAAGGGAACATACTTTGATGGTGCCAACATTCATGCATTATTTACCGTACATCAGCTGCATTGCATCATCAGCATGTCAGCAGCGTGTGCACTGCCTGTGCAGTTTAAGAAAGATGTGTTTTAAGAAACTCTACAAACTATGAAATCAAGCAATTAAATTTAGATGAATTTATTTTAACAAGGATATTGACAGTATTTTGAGTAAGTGTATATTTTTTGGGGGGAAATGTGATGTATTATCAACATTATCATCTGCAAACTGTGCAAATATGTGTCAAAGATCATGGAAGAAACCATGTTTCCCTTGTTTTTAAGTGGGAAGACGCTTAATAATTAGTAGTTTGTGTGAAATCTGTTTCCACTTATCTATGGACAAAAAAAGAGAGAAGGGCTTCTTGAATAGACGGCAGCGAAGATTACAACTGTTTTTTTGTTTGAAGAGACATGAAAAAAGGCAGCAAAGTATTTTCTGGTGTAGACCAACCAAGCATAAAAGAGAGAGACACAAGTGGCATTCCCTTTGTACTCCTGTTCACGGGCTGTGAGACCGCTATTTTGTTGAGACTGATCAAATCTGCCAGCATGTATTTCAAGAAGGTAACAGCACTGTTTTCCCCGTCCGGTAGCAACAGAATAAAGTTAGAGGTGCTTTAACTGATTTCCATTGAAATGATTTCAGACTGTTGTGCATACTGTGAAGATGCAGGCCTAGTTGTGTGATATGCTAATTTTCCATCCAATGGTTAAACGTTTTAGAATAAAAAAACGGATTGATTGAGTTTTGTGTATAATGGTCCTCTAAAAGGAAGTCAACAAGCTCAGTAGAACACACTCCCAGCAATTAATGAAGATTTTGCTTTTTTTTTCAATTTTGCATGCAGATGAAACTGATCTTTGAAGTGTCTACAGAGAGAAACATGGCAGGACTTCCTCTCTTTCTTCAGCTTTGTAACCAAACGTGCTCGCTGCTTTGGAAAACACTTGTTCATGTTCATTTCAATCAGTAACGGCGGAATTCAGTGTTGAATTCTGTTTGTGAGACGTTTAAAACGTGCCTGGAATACATACCCAAGGCGTTCTAGTATTGGGGCTTTTTATATTTGTTTGGCTGTCCGATGTTCTGGTACTAAATATCCAGCAATATGGATGTGAGAACATGTACCAGGTTTTTAATGTCCACTCTATTATGTCAACTTTACCCTCTCTGTGCATGTCAGTGGGATGTTCCAAAGGGTAGAGCTCTTTTTAAAAAGACTCCATTGTTAATAGCCACATTTTATTTGATGGCCTGTTTTGTTGTGGGTTTTTAAGCATGTAGATGTTGTAACAGTGAGTTGCAGGTCATACTACATTACAATGTGAGAGAAAACGTCTATATCAGTGGATCCTGGCTGAATTGGCTGCTTGTGCTGCCTAGTAGAGCATGATTTAACGCAGCCATTGTGAATGTAGGACAAAACTCGTTACGGACAGCTATTTCCCCCCCCTCTTTGTCTTTTTTCTTCCCGTCATTTGTACATCTCCTGTTCTTTGTCTCATTTGCTTTCTCTTTTTTTCAGTCTTTCCCCTCCTTTTCCTTTGCTCATTTTGTCTTTAAGTGACTGCCTATCATTCATTGCCTCTCCCTCCTTCTTTCTTTCTATTCCTCTTTATTACTGCCACCTACATCAGCACTCTCCTGTCTTTTATACACGTCTGGCCTCATTCTTCTCCTCTTTAAGTCTCTGAAAGATCCCTAAATGTTTCTCCGTCAACAATACAATTCTGTCTTATTAGCCTCCTTCCCTTCTCCCATAAACTCACTATGTTGTCACATTGGGGAAATATTGGAAAAAGGCTAAACAATACATTTTCCGACAACTGTACAGAAATGGATTGTTGGATTTGGGTTGTTATTCATTGCTTTGTTTTGCTAGGTATTTTGTCTTAACTTGAGTTTTTTGTTTATTTATATGACATTATAGGAAATTAATGACCTGTTTCCATATAATTTGTTCACGGTTAAGAGTCACGTAGACGGAAAGTGAATATATTCACATGTAAAGCACGTGGTGGTCCTGTCTCGTTATGGAGATTTATGATTTTGTGTCGGGTGACATCTAAAGATATTGTATGTGCTTGTGTGAGATGTATAGACGCAGGCACAACTTTAGCTGGGATAATTGGTGGTAGCCTGCAGCACTGTCAGCACAGAGAGAGTGAAGAGAGGCATGGGGGAGGAGGGGAGCGCCTCCGTGGGTACATAGATGGATGGAGAGAAGGAAAGATTGGAGGATTACGGAGAGCAGAAGTGATGGCAAAACAAGGGGACACAAGATAAATGGAAGGTTTCTCGCCACAGGGTGTGAGGGCAGAGAGAGACACAGAGATGGATGAGTGTTGTTTCAGTGGTGATTGCGATATAGAAAAGGATAACTGAGGATAGAATTGGCCAGATGGATGAGGAGATGGATGAGAAGGAAGGGAGGGGGGGGACTGTAGATTGAG